ATTAATGCATAGATGGGCAAGTATGCACGCTAGCGGTTGCGTCTCTTATTCTCTGTCATGAGTAAACTATGAACGGAAAAAGTAAATAAACGAAAAAATTCGCATAATTTTGAAGAATTGTTTCGATAAATTAACTTTAGGGCTTATTTTGATTAGGTTTGCGCCTGAAAAATATTAAACTAGTGAAATTTCGACCTAAAAAAGCTATATGAAACTTCTCTTAAGAATTTCTCTTTCATTATTTTGCCCATCTATGATGTTATAATTGCAATTTCTTTTGTTTGGCAAAATGTGCTCTCTTAACACATTTTTGCTGCATTCTCTTTTTGCAATGACTCTTGGCTTTTGCATTTAACGATGTACTTTGCGGTCTTTTGGTGTAAGGATTTGCCGATGATAGTGGTAGTGGTGTTATGTTTATTTTTCCTGTTTTTTGTTCCTCATCTTCTTCTTTGCAGTTACAGCACCAAATATCGTTCGTTGATTGCCGTCGCCGTCGCCGCCGCTGCTGCTGCTGTTGCAATTTTGTTGTGCTCCTATTTTAGCCGCACCCTAAAAATATGCTATAATAATCGTTTTTGTTTCTTTGCTATTATTTTTCCATAACTACTTCCTGTTTGTACAAAATTACACGTTACTCTCTCTCGCGCTCTCCGTGCTTCTCCATGAGATTCACTGCTGCAATGGTGGTGCACTACTCTGTAATGATGAGGATATTTCTGCAAGGTGTGACGCCGTAACGTCGCAACACAGCACAACCGCCGACATATACCGGAAATAGAGTTTTTCTTCATGTTGTGCTTTTTGTGTGTCCATTTTATGAATGAATGAATGAAACATTTTCGTCGGATAGTGGCATTTTGTAGGGATTTTTATTTTCATTCGTTCGTTTTTGGTTTATATTATGATTGACCGGATTCGTTCGTATGCGCCCCATCGTCGTAAAATTGCGTTTTTGGAAATGAGATATGTTGTTGTTATTGTTGTATTTTTATTTGGATCATTACGTTTTAAAAGGGTAAAGACCTTTTTGTGTATTATTTGTTTTTTATTTCTTCTTCTTCTGCAGACACGAATAATTAAAAGGGGAAGTGGTTGAATTCATTCTTTAAATTGTTTGGTAAATTTTTACATGTGACTTTTTATATGAAATGAGATTTTGTTTTAGAAGGACTTCAGTTAAAAATGGATTTTGATTTATTAAGAGAAGCGAACTCCTGAAACCGAATATATATACATACAATCGACGAGGATCCAAATTTTTTAAATTGAATGAAAATTCGTCGTCCTATATTAAATATCCTATATTAAATAATTTTTAAAAATACTTTAAGACTCTGAAAAGCCAAATGGCCAGGTCGAACGTTTACACTGTCTACCACTTAAAAAGTTTAATAATTCCGAAATCATTATATAAAATTGGCACTTGGTTCATGTGTTAAAATTTACACAATTTCTAACATTCATTTTCAACTTAGCCATAATTAGGTGATACGGGTTTGTTAAGGCCAATCCACGGGTTTGTTGGAACCAATATAAGGTATATTTCGTAAAGTGAATTTATGAAGAATTTTTTAACCTGCTCCAAAAATTTTACACGTAAAAGAAACTGTATAAATAATATTTATACTATACTTGTACTATAAATATATATTACCATAATCAGCGTTTATCGATTTAGCCATATTCGTCTGATTGTGGTGGGAGCACCTAAAACTATGTTATTAATGTAAAATATATATGTAGGTATAACATGATGCGTAAACTAGCCTACGTTAAATGGCTTGCGAGGTCAAATCTTACCAATCAATAACTATAAATGAGTGATATCTGGTTTTATCGCTTCTCGTTTTGAAATAACATCCATATTAACGAACCTCCCGATTTACCAACTGAATCATCTGTGAATTCTACTATCTAGACTTCAAAACAAAGATGAATGTCGTTTTTTGAGTCTCCAACGTGTATTTCGAAGTGTTGTAAACATTTGGATCGTTGATGTATCTTTTGCATATTTTTAGCATACTTTAAGGCTCTTAACAACATTTTTATCATCATCGATTCTCATGACAGATGTATTCCCCAAGCCTTGCGTTATAATTACTAAAATTGTTGACCCTTTATGGGTGAAGTTCCGAAGAAGTGGGCCAATATTGTCCATTTCGTATCTGATCTATGTCTGAAATAAATATTACAACGTGCCAGATTTGGATTTAATCGACTACTTTCTTCACATTTTATGAGATATGTGCGAAGTACCATATATAGAGGATTGAGCTATTCCACTTCATCTAATATTGACAAAAATATTGGTGTGGGGAAGGTTACACAAGGTGTGAGCTCATAGATTCCATATTCACATCAGATCCCTGGTCGGAAGAGATATTTAGATAAACAATGTATGAAATGAATCGCTGAGTTGTTTCTCAAGTTATGATATATATAAATACTGACAATTGTGACCCTTTGAGGGTGAGGAATCAGAAGGGGTAGGCCAATATCTTTCATCCTCACACAAGATCTTTTATTTCGCGATTTATGGGAGACATTATTCACCGGAATGGATACTACAGCCATAGACAGAAAATTGTGCAGGTCCACGTTTTGGTATAGCCCCCATACAATAGTACCTCCCTACATTCGGTATTTTGATGATTTCAGCTACATTATTCATCGAATTTTTTCATGTTTCGCATTTGAATATTGTGATGACTTATGACAGGAGTTGCTTATACATGTCCTCGTCGTCATATAGACCCTAAAATAACTGCTACATTCGGTATTTTTAAGATTTTAAAAAAAATTTAACGGATTTTATTTTATTGAAAATTGTCAAATTCGTTGCCCGGCCGAACTTACAGTTTTTTTACTTGTTTCCTGGGGTTTTCATTGGACAATCGCCGAAATGAATAGAGTGATGAGGGTCTGACCGACTGATTCATCAACTCCCAGGCGAAACGGCTTATCTAGAATCTTGTAATTTTACATGTAGGTCAAGGTGTGTAAGGGCGAGACAAGGCTGGACTTGGGAAATGCATACGAGTGGGTGGACGGATGGAGTTGGTATTTGAAAATACTAAGAAAGTACGAAAAGTACTAAATTCGGTATATGCTATTAGGATTACTTTTTGGGAAATGAGGTTGAGATATGGAGGAGGATTTGGAAATACGTACTTAAAGAAAAGTATCGAGTGTTATTAGATTTGGTATTTAAGGGAAGGAAAAGGGTTGGAAATTTAAAATTTTGAATCAGAATGGATTTGGAAATACGCACCAAAAAGTACGAAAAGTGCTAAATGGAAATCTGAGTTTTAGAATGAGGATATTTGATGTTGTGTATGATAAACAAGGAAGGAAAAATACTAAATGTCGTTCAAGTCGCTTTTAGGGAAGGAAATCTGAATTTTGCAACGAGGATATTTGGTGTTGAGTAGGATAGATGTACCAAAGGATTTGGTACCATTAAATTTGGTCAGATTTTGGAAGTAGGGTTTAAGGATATGTTTTTGGAAATTTGTGATGAATGTAATAACATGGTACTAAATTTGGTAAAATTTGATTTTGGGTAGAAATGTTGGTATTGCTTTTTGGTATGCTAGTAGGTAAATTTAGTAATAGCTAACGGATGTTGCTTAAAATCTTAAATTTGGCATTAGGGTCGCTGTTAGTGTGTAGGATTGAGATTTTGAAGTGGTTTTGGAAATATGTACTAAAAAAGTACGAATAGAAGCATTCAATGGAAAAAATGGATATTTAAGGAAGGAATAGAGTTGAAAATCTTAAATTTGACATTAAGATATTTGGAGGACTAAATAGTATTAAATTAAGTGTTTTTGTATTAAATATGCGAATGAAAAACCTAAAAAATATCAAAGGTATGAAAAATGTATTTGATATGGGTTTTTTATTACCAAAACGTGACGTAACGGTTTTAGACGCTAGGTCTCTTTGTGGCAAATCCGTTTTAGGACATTTATCAAACTTAGATCGAGTTTGGATGTGGTATATCAGTACACTATTTCTAGTACCTCTCCCACAAAAGGTCGAAATTTTCCAAGAAATATTTTACTGCACAGAAAGAGAAACGATAATCCGATTTTGCTCCAACTTTGCAAATGCCAGTATTCCATTCAGACTTGGTACATCTCAATATTTCCATCAACACAAGATCTGTTATAAAGATGGTAGAGATCGGACCATTCCTTGTGACACCTCCCCCACTAAGGGTCAAAGTATTAAATAAGCAAAACGATTAAAAAAATCGAATTAAGCATCCGGTTCTCTTCAAATTACATACATCGAAATATGTAGGTCTGGTGAGAAAATGACATATGTCGGTCCATTCCTTTTGGTACCTCTCCTAAAGAAAGCGCACTCAACTCACTTTAAATTTCACATACACAAACATTTTTGTCAAATCTGCGAAATCCTTCTCGTACCTCACCCACAAAGGGTCACAATTTTCAATAATTTTATCTGTCATAACTTGCGAAACAAGTCAGCGATTCTTTACAACTTGTTATATCTGAATATTTCTCCAACCAGAAATTTGGGATAAATATAGAGATATTTTTACGAGCGCGATATATTTTTATGAGCGTCATTCCAAAACGTTGGCCAATATATTCTGATAAAATATAAAGCCGATATATCGTTCTTTATTCACAACATTTAAAATTCAGAACATTTTTTTTTTCAAAATTCTCATATTTTCTCATTCTGTGACACTTTATTTTTCTCTCTCTCTCATGTTTTTTATCTCTCTTGCTTCCTAAACATGTCTGTGGTGGGGAAAATTCTTGAGTTGAATTTTTCTTCATTTGTTTATGTATTTATCTGGTATTTGTGTTATTTTTCCTCGTTACGTTGGAGGTGAAAATGTTTGGTTTTCCCCCTCATTTTTGTTTTTCTTTTTTTTGTGAAGAGAGACGGAAAAAGGCAGCCCACCAGCCGACAACCATATCAATAGGTATTTTATGCACTTTTCATGAAAATGTTTATTCAGTTTATTTCGGTTCTGTTCAGTTGGAAGACACATTAGCCTTACGTTACGTTATTTTGAGTTTTTCGGCTTTACGTTTGATTTTGTTTTTTGATTTTTTCCTTTCGTTTAATTTTATTTCGTTCGTTTGGTTCGTAAAAAAAAACAACAAAAAATAAAATTCTACGTTTGATTTGATTTTCGGAAATAATAGAAGGAAACTAATCCAGGAAGGATCAGAGTTGTCAACACACATATAAAACTCTGAAAACAAACTGATAACTTTCGGCTCAGTTTGCTTTTGTTTGAAGTATAAATAGTTTTCAAAAAATTCAGTTCAATTTCTTTATTAAAAAAAAAAAAAATATTTTTTTGCAAAATTCTATGTGTGTTTCGTAATCACCGCCGCCACATACCTTAGAATAAATAAGGAAAAAAACCAATAAGTTTGTGAAGAAAATTCAACTGAAAAATGTTCTTAATTTAATTAATGCAATAACAACAGCTACAAAAACATCACCCAAAACTCACAACAACACACAGACGGAAAACAATATTCAAAACTATTTTTAACCATTTAAAGAAATTATAAAAACAAAAGGTAATTTTTGTTTCAATTTCCTTTTTTGAAATTTCACAAAAAATGCATAATTTTATTTTCAATTTCCCATAATTTCTGGGAAATTGTATTGAAAATATCGTTTTTTTTTTTTCTCTTCGTTTCGTTTCTTCAACCATATGTTAGAACTAAAAATATCAAAACAACAACAAGAGCCCATAGCCTAAAATAGCATTCTTATCTTATCCATGCCGCACTCCCCACTTGCTGTTGTGGCGTGTATTAGCGAGTGGTAGATTTCCTTATCATATCCCATACCCCTCATTTCGGTGTGTATGGTGGTTTCTCCTCTCGATTTTCTTTTTTATTTCAACGTTCTCTTTTTTCTCTCATTTGTAAATAATATTGCCCTCCGAGTTTTCCGATTAGGTGAGGCGAAATATCGTTTTGTTTACCATAAAGGTAGGGGAGGCTATAGTAACTTTGTCTTCGTCTGAGAATTACCTATGGACATAGAAGAGAGTACAATTTAAGCAGGATATTGTACGGGGTGTTATGGACTGAAATTCCGCGATGTTTCAAGAAAAATGATTGTATGAAGAATTATAGATGTGAGTGACACTTCAAAAGTCCGCTTAAGGGTCCCCAAGGCCTTCTAACGTATTTAACTGGACCGCAAATACTGATTAAAATATGTTTATTCTTTGATCAGTTTGGCAAAGGGGCTTCATTTTCCCAAGTTGTCAATCATCTGAACCCTACTTGGATAGACCGACTTGAGTTTTTGAATCAGCATGGACCTTATATCTACTACTCTACCAGTGAATTATTTGTGAAATATTGATCTGCAGATGAGCTATGATATATCGATGTGGAGTTGATTATCTACAGGGTGAGATAAAACAACTGCAACAAAGTCAGACGACATAACTTTTACATTTTTTTTAATTTTAATTGAATGAAAGCAAAAAATGTCGGAAATAGCATCAAATTTTAGAATAAGTTTAGATTTATTCGAATTGGTCACCTTTAGCACGAATTATGGCCTTCAAACGGCCAATGAAACCGCCACACGCTGCCCGAATGTTGTTCTGCGGTATTTTGGCCCATACGCGGCGAAGCGCTTGCTTGAGGTGATCGACACTTTGGTATTTTATAGTGCCAACCTTGCTTTCCAAACTGCTCCAGACACAATAGTAGCACGGATTGGTATCTGGAGATTTTGGTAGGCATTGTCTGCTGGAAATGAAGCGAGGAACCTCATTTTGTAACTATTCCTGGGTGGCGCGTGCTGAGTACGATGGTGCTGAGTCCTGTTGGAATGTCCAAGGTCTGCGGCCAAAATATTTGCATGCCCAAGACTTAATACACCCTCCATAATATTTTCGCGATAATATTCGGCAATTATTCTTATTCCACGGTCGATTAATACGAGCGGAGAGCGACCATGGGCTGTTATGGCGGCCACACCATCACCATGGGCGGCGCTTCAGTTCTGGTGGCCAACCGAAGGTGCACATTTTCAGCTGACCTCTTTGGCAAGTAAACACGATCATTTTGTTTGTTTACAAACTGCTGGACAACGAATGTTTTCTCATCGGAGAAAACCAAATTCGGCAGTTCACCACTTTCGGCCAAGCGAAGCAACACTTTAGCTCTTTTGAGTCTATTTTCTTTCTGCTGCGGTGTAAGTTCTTGCCATTTTTGGAATTTCAATGGCTTTGCCCCGAAATCATTTTTAAATATTTGCTGAATGTAATATTACGATATTTTCAGCTCACGAGCCATTTTCGGCTACTACGACGCGGGTTTCGATCAAGTCGCAACTTTACTTTTCAAATCATTTCTGCTGATGTTGCTTTTTTATTCCGTCCACTTCCTTGACGTCGGGCTACGCTACCAGTATCACTGTAACAAGCGATGGTACGGAACATAAAAGATTCACATTTAAATGCTGGAGTGCTCTAACTATAGCCACAGTCTGAAGTTGGTTGCAGTTTTTTAATCTCACCCTGTAGGTATTGTCTGCATTGTTTAGGTGGATTCAGGTCTAACACGGATCCAGAACCAGAAAATTAGTATGAAATATCCGGATAATTGGGTCCGCATCTCACGAATTAAATACTTTCTCAATGTCATGGTAAAATATCTATCTCTGGATAAAAAAGATATTTTTCCTAGGATGGATGGCATTGAAAATGGAATATAACGGTTCACGTCTAGGTACAGCCCCCTCCTAATTTTTGGTATTTTAGTGTCTTTAGGTTCCAATTTCCTAACAATTCGGTTCTTATTCGACACAAAGTTACCTTCTTTTTTTCTACTTTTCGGTATTTTAAAGGTCGATATTTCGGACCTTTAGATTAAATTTCTAGTAGATTAAATCTTCTAGAAAAATCAATATAGGAATAAGTCCATTTAAAGAAACTCGCAAATTTTAGAGATTTTAATTTTTTTAATTTTTTGGAACAACATCAGGTCGTCAAATCCTGGTTGTAAATGAATTACTATTTTTGATATCTTTATTTTTGACATTGCAGAATACCTGTAAATAATCTTGGGGTCATAATTTCGTATGTGTAGATCTCGGCATATAAAACTACCGCTTCTGATTGACCAAATGATTTTGATTGGGTTATTCGTCTTCGTAGCTATTTATACCCTACACCGCAAGGTGGTCAGGGTATTATGTCTTTGTGCATTTGTTTGTAACAGGCAAAAGGAAACGAGATAGACTCATAGTTCCTTTTGATGATATGCATAGAATCACATTCTGAGTCGATTTATGCATGTCCGTCCGTCCGTCTGTCCATGTATTTTTGTAAACAAAATACAGTTCGCATTTATTGTCCTATCCAGATGAAATTTTGCACAAATCATTTGTTTGGCCCAAGGACGAACCCTATTGAAATTGGAGATAATCGGTAAAAAATTAGTTATAGCTCCCATATATATCTTCGTCCGATTTGCCTTTTATTGTGCACCAAACGTGTAATATCAGTCCGAATTGTATGGAATTTTGCACGCACAATCAGATTGGACCTGAAAATAAGTATGCCAAATTCGATCGAAATCGGTTCAGATATAGCTATAGCTCCCATATATATTGTTCATCCGATTTGCTATTTTTGTCCTCCGCAGATGTAATATGCACCCTGTAACAACAATATTTGGGGAAATATATCAAATACAGCTCAGAAATACATTTGCTAAATTTTATCAAGATCGGTTCAGATTTGGATATAGCTCCCATATATAACTTCGTCCGATTTACCTTTGATTGTGCACCAAACGTCTAATATTTGCCCAAATGAGATGAAATTTGGCACTTACGACCGAATTGAGTCTAGAAGCTAGTATGTTAAATTTGGAGAAGATCGGTTCAGATATAGCTATATCTCCCATATATACTGTTCATCCGATTGTCATATTTGTTACCCACAGCCGTAATATGCACTCCAACGAGGGCATACCCACGATATTCAGGGAAATATATCAAATACAGCTCAGAAATATCTTTGCCAAATTTTATCGAGATCGGTTCCGATTTGGATATAGCTCCCATATATATTTTTATCCGATTTCAAATTAATTGTGCACCAAATGGGCAATACAAGTCCGAATTTAAAAGATACAAATGCTTCGGTATATTTAGTCCTTTGAACTTTAAATTATAATTATAATCATAGCGTGTATGATTGAATTCTCTCATAAAAACTTTTAATTATTATGCGCAGCTCTACTAAATTAGCAAAGTGGTGTAGGGTATCATAAAGTCGGCCCCGGCCGACTTTAAGACTTTCTTTACTGGTTAAGATTGATCTTATGAAAATCATTTGTTGCTGATCAGAAGTTGCTACGACTTTGGCAAGAAGGCTTAACTGCTTTTCGATTTTAGTTACTTAGCAACGATGTGGCTATACTTTGTCATGGATGGAGTTCCTATAACCACTAAATTTCTCAATATAGGTCAAGGTATAGAAACAGCAACCACAGAAAGCTACCACCACCTACGATAAGAATTTTAGGGATTATGATCACTCATAAATTTACTGGCTTTTATCCATATCAGTACTATTAAGACGTACCAATCTGTATTGCAGCAAACCTGAATAATCATTGGAATATGATCCATATTTTTCTTCAGATATTTTCATGTGAAAAATAAAATTAAGTACAAGGTCTTTAAAATTCTTCAAAACAAAAACAAACAATCATAACAAATTTTACGCATTGGAATGGTATTTAATTTTTTTCGAAAATATTATTGAACGGATTCGAAGAGGAAGGAAAGCAAATGAAGAACGGGGAAAAGTGCATATTTTTAGAACGTGTGTGTGGTTTTTTCGTTGGGAAAACAAATATAAACACATGTAGTACTCAAATGCCGACGATCACAAACAACAACAACACCGATCTTCAATGGAAATTGAAAACGAAACAGCAGAGGTGTTGTTTTGTTATTTATTTTAAAGTGAAGCGCATGCGTTAGATTTGTAAGCAAATCGCGCAAATTAATGGTGATGCAAAATTTTGGGGGATTTTTGCAATGTGAAATATTTATTGCAATGGACAAGTGAATTATGAATATGGCAAATTAATTTGCAGAATTTTGTCGTGTGAGTGTTATAGTTGGCGATGGTGAAAATGTAATACGGTAATATTATGAAGCACAAAATCTGCGTAAGAATCTGAATAAAAGTAGTCTTTGGCGGTTTTCTCAAATTTTGAGTAGAGTACTCAATATTACTATTCGTATTATATTCTTAACATAATGACTGTAAAGGGATGTATTTTGAAACTTTATGTAAACACCTCTACAAAAAGTGGTTGTCTAAATAGTTTAAGGAATTATACTAAAATAATAAAATTTTTCAAACCAGATTTTTGTAAAATGAAAAAGACGACATTACGTTTTTTACCCTAAATAGGGGAAATCATTTTTTCTTGGGGACGGACCCGCGTGCCTGGAAATTTGACCGGGCTAATACCCGGATATACCTGATGGATATATGTAATATGGCTATCTGAGGAAGAAGAAG